CATCCTGGAACTTTGCAATGTTTTTATACATCACTGGGGTGGGGAGAGAAAGATCTAAGCCCTTCTGAAAAGATTTACATTACCTCTAGACAAAGGGGATGGGAGAAGGTAAGAGGCTAGATCTGAGATAGGTGCAACAGAGTCTGTAAGGAAGAAGTGTCCGATCCTGTGGATTATAGCCACCTGGAGATTAATCCTAAATTCCAGCAAATATACCGGAATGTGAGCAGCCGTTAGTTAATCAAAGCTGGTCCACAGTTATGAGCTGGCCACTGTTCTGTCCCTTTCTCTGTCTTCTACGATTTTAATTTAGGTCATCTCAGAATTTTTTTCTTGTTTGTATGTTAGCTTTCTGCTTTATCAGTAAATTGGACCTACATAGAGTTGTTGCTGGAAGAAAAACGGAAAAAGCACCAGGGCTTTTGTGGACTGTTCTTGTTTTGTGGAAGTTGGAAAGATTAGCGGCAGTCTCAGCATGCATTAAGACCCTGTTGTCTATACTGGACTTCTGGAGTTGTTGCTATATATTTTCTTTAACTCCTAAAATTATTATTTTGCTTTTCTTGTGTACTTAAGTTTTATTTTAAAATTAGAAAACCAGATCTTTAATTTTGGAGGAAATTTTATTAGGCATACCTTAGAAGTTCTTTGGAGTAAAGGAACATTTATCAATATGTACTCAGGGTTTTGTTTTTTTAATTGATTTTAGAGAGAGGAAGGGGGAGAGAGAAAGAGAGAAACATCAAAATGAGAAACATCAATCAGGTCCTTAATGGGGGATCGAACCCACCACCTTTTGGTGTACGTGAGGATGCTTCAAACAATAGAACCACTTAGTGTTATTTTTTAATTTATCTTTATAGAAATGTCTTTATAAGAATAGACAATTGAGTTCAGGAAATGCATGCATTAATTAGAGTAATGAAATATCATCCCTCCCTGCTCCTTGTCTCAATACTAAACTGGGCATTTTAAAGATAAAATTCTTAATTAGTGATCTCACCAATTTGCCTCATCTGAACAAAGAGTTTTAATTAGTTGCTGTAGGATTAGGCCAGTTATTGTTTATTACAACAACTTGATGCTTAATGTTTTTATTGTCTGCTAATCCTATTTACTGCCTGTTATGGGATGAGTTACTGTGTTGCTGTAAGCAGACCTCAGTCCTGAGGAGTGGACTGGGTTACACAGAACCGCCAAGTAGCCCAGGTCCAGAGCGGGAGCTCCTTATTTCTGGTGCCTCTTTCTTCACTGCCTCTGGGCAGGAAAAGAGAATACTTTTTTTTTTACATGTACCTTTATTGACTTCAGAGAGGAAGGGATAGGGAGAGAGAGAAACATCAATGATGAGAAAGAATCATTGATCGGCTGCCTCCTGCACGATCGGGGATCGAGCCCACAGCTTGGACATATCTCCCGACTAAGAATCTAACTATAACCTCTTGGTTCATAGGTCGACGCTCAACCACTGAGCCACCTGGGCTGAGGCGAGAGTATTTCTTGTTTTACGAAAATAATGTGAATTCATCTAAGGAAATGCAGACCTGTTGACTCTTGCCAGTTATTTGACTTGATCACGACTGGAGCACAAGCTCTATCCTGTCTCCTTGGGTGTGTACTATATATAGCAGCATGGTGGTGGTGCAGTTAATATTCAAATCAGCTTCCTGTGCAGTCCCAGGAGAAACCATTAGTTAGTAATACAGCAGGGTCCTAGTGCTCTTGGTTGGAATGTTACTATAAAATTAACATTTAGTATATAGTACTTATTAGGATTTTAGTTGTGGGTACTATTTAAGAAATTATGTTTAGCTGAATATTTATTAAGATTGAGTCATGCACCCTGGCTGGTGTTTCACAGTGGTTAGAGCCTCGGCCCAGGCACCGAAGGGTTCTGGGTTCGATTCCTAATCAAGGGCATGTAACTGGGTTGCAGGTTCTATCCCCAGCCCCTAGTCGGGGTGTGTGTGGGAGGCAACCCATCAGTGTTTCTCTTTCTCTCTCTCCCCCACTTCCTCTTTCTGTAAAATCAATAAAAACACTTAAAAAAAAAAGATGAATCTAACCATTGACAATAGGTTAACATTCCACGGTCAGTCAAATGTAGGAGGTATTACTAGAAATAATATAAACACTTCAGTGGAGTCTGTGAGGTAAGGGATGGTGTAGGAGAAAAGGTTGAGTAAGTAGGGCAGGGTAGAATCTCTGAAAACTAGCAAGATGAGGAATTTAGATTTGAATTTACATGTAGAACATCATTCTTAGAGCTGTACAAAGTGATTTTACAAAGTTGTCATCTCTGCCCAATAACTTTAAAAAAAGGAAACTAAGCCAAACCGGTTTGGCTCAGTGGATAGAGCGTCAGCCTGCGGACTGAAAGGTCCCAGGTTCGATTCCGGTCAAGGGCATGTACCTTGGTTGCGGGCACATCCCCAGTAGGAGGTGTGCAGGAGGCAGCTGGTCGATGTTTCTCTCTCATAGATGTTTCTAACTCTCTATCCCTCTCCCTTCCTCTCTGTAAAAAATCAATAAAAAATATTTAAAAAAAAAAAAAAGGAAACTAAGTCCAGTTGGTATGGCTCAGCAGTTGAGTATTGATCCAGGAACCAAGAAGTCGCTAGTTTGATTCCCAGTCAGAGCACATGCCTGGGTTGTGGGCTTGATCCCCAGTGGGGGCTGTGCAGAAGGCAGCCCATTGATGACTTCCTCTCTCATCGATGTTTCTCTTTATCTCTCTCCCTTCCTCTCTCTCTAAAAATCAATAAAAATACATTTTTAAAAAATAATAATAAAAAAAGGGAAACTAAGAGTATTTTCCTTTCCTGGGTGTATTTTTCTAGATGTATTGCTGTCCACTGCTACTTGTTACAAAGTGGGAAAAGGGGAAAGGGACTTTAATCCATGGACAAATATAATGATTAGTAAATTATTTAATATTTGCATACCATGTTTCACTGATTGACATTGGCACTCTGAGTTAAATTAATTAATACATGTGAAGTGTTTAGAAGAACACCTGGCTAAAAGTAAGCAGCCTGTGTTACTTATTACTTTTTGTTGGGATTATTTTCTGTGAATCCTAAGTGTCAGTTGATGTTCAGAGTAATTTAAGGTGAAGATGTGATGTAGGTTTAATGCTCTACTCATTTCCCTCCCAATTATTCCCCCTCTTTTTGGGATATGTTGATTTTGATTCTTAGAAAACTGAATATGATTAAGAAGTATAGATTCACATACCTTTACCCAATACAATAAAATGGAATTAGAGTTCGTTTGGAGAAAACTTTTTAACATTTTATTTTTCTAAAAACCACATGCTTTGTGTTTTCGGCATTTGCCAAGGCTAAATCTGGACACCTGCTAGTCTGAGGGTCACTCTCCCAGTCCACAGGCAGTGACTTCCTTTGACAAGACTCACCGCCTCAGAGACTGCTGGTCTCAGCAGCGTCGGTTCCATTTCTAGCCTATGACTGTGACCTGGACTAGAACAGAAAGACTGCCTACAGGGGTGTTGCACTTAGTTATTTCTAGTCGCATGATACGTAAGTGTTGTCCTGGGCCCGCAGCTGTTGAGGAACATAGGATACTGTTTCTGTTACAGCGGCAGTGAATGGGCAGTGCCACTTGAGACGTATTACGAGCTGAAAGACAGTCAGTGGTGAAGCAGTAAGTACTGAGGCCCGGCTTCGTTCTGGGATAACCTTAGTTCTGGGAATGGTATAAATTAGATGTCTTCTCAGTGAAGTAAATTTGAACTATTTTGTTTTCAGTATTCATCTAAATGATCATTGTCTTCAGTTAGACAGCCAGTTGTTTAAATTGAGCTTACTTGTAAATAGTTGTTTTGTGTTAACTTTTGTCTGTGCAAAACAGGACAGACTGTTCCAGTGAAGATGTTAAGGCTGAAAAGGGTTATAAACTGACCTTGAGGTAGCCAGAAGTTACCACAAGATGGGTTTTTCCATGATTCAGATCAGTGAAAACATTTCATAGTGTAGGCCCCCTGGAATTTTATTTGTAATTCAGAAAATTCTAGCTTTGTACTTCATTTAAGCAATTAAACCTAAGTTTTAAATATGATGTTGGTGATATCATTTGTTAATCACATGGTTAGAAACATTGTCAGTAAAAAAAAAATGACACATACAAATGGTATGTGCAGTGAAGCTTAAAATAGCACATCTTCACATCCCTGCAGAATCCCTGCACTCCGTGTATGACCTCCTTACTTTATGTGCTGCTCACAGAGGCGCTTTAAGCATCCCCTAAGGCTAGAATATTACACTTAAATGTTATATATACTTCCAGTTTTACTGTTTACTCATATTTCTTCTGTAGGTATTTTCCTCGAGTAAACTTTTAAGAGAGTAATAGATGTGGCATTTCAGAATGTGTCTTGACAGTGTTGGGGCTGGGGACACTTTTTTCTTACTCCTTTAGTTCTTCTGGCTGATTGAATAATTCAGACAACGTACAGCAGATTAATAGGAGAAGATCAAATCTTAATAATGTGCACACAGAATATTCACATAGGCATGCACATTCCAAAGACTGAGGCAAAATGAGGCAGATGTGCCAGTTTGGAGAAGAGTCTGGGATTCCTGAGGGGAAATAGGCAATTCACTGGCCGATGACCAAGTGGCAAGCAAATTCTTGCTAGGTGGACTCAGAAACAATGGTTGCACTTAATTCACATGTGCTGACGTGAGTGTGGTGATTATGCTTGGGTCCCTTCCTGAAGCAGGGTTTCGTCTGAATCTCTTTAGGTGGGAAAGGGGAAGATAACTTCCTATTTTGTTAGGCTGTAATGGTTTTCAGCTCAAAATAGCCTGCTTGGCAGCGGGGCACATTCTGAGAGACTAGACCCCACAACAGTCATACCGTGTTGCTTGGAGGCGAGTCTCCGGTCTGTTAAGATGCTTATACTCCTTAAATGTATCCAGGTTTACTTTCTGACTGACATTTGTCTGCGGTTTTGTTTGTTTGTTTCTCAAACATAGAGCTGCCAAATGCTGTTAAATCAGCTGAGAGAAATCACGGGCATTCAGGACCCTTCCTTCCTTCAAGAAGCTCTGAAGGTTAGTGTCAAGGCTTCTGTTAGTCAAGAGGCTTTAAAACAGTTGTCCATGTTGTGGTTATGTCAGTTCAAGCTATTTTAACGCCTAAATGAAAGTGTATGTAGGGACAGAGCTCTGCAGGTCAAATAACCCGGTATCTTCAACATGTAAATGGATGGGGGAGACGTGCAGTGCAGGGAACCCGACAGGGTAAAAGAGGTTTATGAACATATCAACCAGTTGCACAGTATAAACTTGGTATGGATCCTGACTCAAGCAAACTAAAGGCTATTTGAGTCAGGGAACTTTGAAGTAATTTACTTAAAAACTTGATACTTACTGTTAAGGGGTTATAGTTTTAAAAAGATACATTCTGAAATGTTAACTGATAAACTGATATGATGCTTAAGATTTGCTTCAAAGTATCTGGGAGAGACTGGCAGAATAGATAAAACAAGATCGTCCACCTTGGTACATGGGTTCAATTATACATTCCCTCTACTATTGTAAATGTTAGACAGTTTTCCTAATAAAATATTAGAAACAATTACAAGTGTGGTCACCACTACAGAATATGTTTTAAACACAGTGCCTTACTATCCTGCACCATATTCCCCCGCCCCCAGACTTATGCCTAGACTTACTCCGTGTCTCCAGGTAGTAAAGAGTTATAACCAAGCAAGAAATTAACGCACTAATTTTAAATGCTGTGATGCTTTACTTGTGAAGTCTTTTCCCCCCTCTCCTTAGGCCAGTAATGGTGACATCACTCTGGCAGTCAATCTTCTCACAGATGAAAGGGTGAAGGAGCCCAGTCAAGACACTGTTGCTACAGAACCATCTGAAGTAGAGCGGAGTGCTGCCAACAAAGAAGTATTAGCAAGTAAGTACATCCTGTCTTAGTCCTGCTTGAACTCGCAAAAAATAACAGATGAGTGTGTGTGAGTTTTCTGTCTGCCACATCAGCCCTTTGGAAAGAATGGTAATGATAGCTAATGATTAAACCGTTACCATGTGCCAGGCACAATTGTAAGCACTTTTGTGATTCATTCATTCACACTTATTTAATGAGCACCTGCTATGTGCTAACCACTCTTTCAGGCACTGATGAACAAAATAAACAAGATGAACAAAATGAATAAGAATCCCTGCCTTCATGTTGCTTAGTTTTTCAAGGGGAGACGAACAAACAAATTATATAGCATATCAGAACATGCTAAGTACCATAGAGAAAAAGTAAAGGATGGAATGAAAAAAGTTTTGAGGATTAGATTTGAAATAGGATGAGCCTTTTGAGAATGGGTGAGTAAGTCATGTGAGGCCTTAGGGGAGAATATACATTGGATTGCTTAAGGAGCAGCAAGGAGGCCAGAGCTGAGGCTTAGTGAGTGAGGAGGGCAATACGAGATGAGGCCGTAGAGAGAACAGGAGGCAGATCATGCAGAGCCTGCATAAGTGCTTGGCTTTCCTCTGAGTTAGATGGCAGCCACTGGAGAATCTGGAGCCAAGGAGTGATGTAAACTGTTCCCATTTTCTAAGGTCACTCTGACTGCTCTGTTGGGTAGTGGGTAGTGAGCATGGGTTGGAGCGGGGAGCCCAGGACCAGTGAGGAGGCTATAGCAGATGGTGTTGGGTGAACTGGGATGTAGTGGTTAAGGAGTGAGAAGTGCTGCTATGTGGGCTTTGCTTACAGAGGAGACAAGGGGTGTGTGAGAGAGGAGGTAAAGGTGACTCCAGGGTTTTTTCCTAAGCAGCTGAAATGATGGAGTTGCACCTATCCAACATGGGAATAACTGTAGGTGGGGCAGATTTGGGGTGGAAGATGAAGTGATCGGTTTGGGCAATATTAAGTTTGGGTGCCTGTTAGACATTCAGGTGGAGTGTCACAAAGGCAGTGGAGCCCAGCCAATGTGGCTCAGTGGTTGAGTATTGACCTATGAACCAGGAGGTCACAGATTGATTCCTAGTCAGAGCACATGCCCGGGTTATGGGCTTGATCCCCAATAGGGGGCATTCAAGAGGCAGCCAATTGATGATTCTCTCTCATTGTTGTTGTTTGTATCTCTCTCTCTCTCTCTCTCTCTCTCTCTCTCTCTCCCTGAAATCAATAAAAATAGATATATATAAAAAAAAGAGGCAGTGGAGATCCACATGTGTAGTTCAGGGGTGAGATCCGCTGGAGATAGATATAGAACTTGGAATCATAAACCTGTAAATGGTATGTAAAGTTATGGGACTGGATGAACTCTTCAAGGGAGTCAATATAGAAAAGAGAAAAGGTTCAGTGACTAAACAAGCTGGCACTTGCAGTGAAGGGCGGTCTGGGGAGATCAGGAGTGTCCAGGGACATCAGGAAGACCAAGAGAACCAGGAGAGTGGTAATGTGGAAGCCAAGGAGGCTTCCAAGGGAAAGGAACCATCAGCTGGGTCAGATGGTGTTAATGGATATTTGGTCTATTTGTAATTTTGAACTACTCTGAATAATGCTGGTATGAATATTCTTTGTGTGTGTGTGTGTGTGTGTGTGTGTGTATACATATACATTTATATGTATATATTGTCTGGTGCACATAGTGATATTTTTAAATCAATATTTTGGGAGACTCATCCACGTTGAAAGTTATAACGGTAGTTCACTTATTTTCACTGGTGTGTAGTATTTCATGGTCTGAATTTACTACAGTTTATGTATTTATTGACTTTGGGGTTTGTTCACATTTTTTGCTATTATAAGCAAGGCTGCTGTGAGCTATTTTGATTCATGTAACGTGTGCATGGCTAATGATGTTGAGCATCTTTTCATGTGCTATTGGCCATTTGTATATCTTCTTCAAAAAAATGTCTATCCAAATTATTTGCCCATTTAAAAAATTGGGCATTTGTTTTTTCAGTATTTAGTTGCAGGAATAATTTATGTAGTCTGTATATAGGTACCTTACTGGATACCTGATTTGCAAAAATTTTCTCGCATTCTGTGGGTTGTCTTTTCACATTCTTGATGGTGTTCTCTGAAGCCCAAGGTTTGTGGGTTTTTAAAAATTTTGATGTCAAATTTATCTATTTTTTTTTTTTTGCTTTGGTTGTTTGTGCTTTGGATGTCATCTCTAAGGTGCCATTGCTTAATCCAATATCACAAAGAATTACAGTGTTTTCTTCTAAGAGTTTTACAATTTTAGCTGTTATCACGCGGTCACAAGTTCATTTTTTTAAATGGTGTGAGGTAGGGGTTTAAAGTCATTCTTTTGTGTGTGAATATGCAGTTGTTCCAGTACCATTTGTTGAAAATATAGTCTTTCAGTACTGTATTATCTTTGTATCTGTGATGAAAAGCAGTTGACCATAAATATGAGATTTGTTTCTGTTTCACTGAAGTCTGTTCCCTTGATCTGTATGTTTGTCTTTATGCCAGTAGCCCACAATCTTGATTACTACAATTTTGTGTTTTTTTCTTTTTAAATTAAATGTTCTTCATTGTCCATGTATAGAAATTCACTTAACTTTTGTCTAACCACATTTTATTAATTACAACTATTGTCTATAGATTATTTTGGATTTCTCTTGTAGGTGATCATTATCTATGAGTTATGACAGCTTTGTTTCTTATTTTCCAATTCTCATATTTTTAAAAAATTTATTTTTTCTTTTCTTATTGCACTGACCAGAACTTTAAGAACCATAGTGAACAAAAGCTTTGATAGTAGACATCTTTGTCTTAGTCTTCGTTTTAAAGGAAATGTGTTTGACATTTCACCATTAAGTACAAAGTGTGCTGTGGGCTTTTCGTGGATATTCTTTCTCAGCCTAAGAATATTCTCTTTCTAGTTAATTTAGAGTTTTTATGCTTGAATAGAGGTTGAATGTTATCAACTATTTTTTCTGTATCTATTGAGATTATCATTTTCTTCCTTGAAATGTTAAGATAGTGAATTTTACTGGTCTCTTTTCTAATGTTAACTCAGTGTTTCCTACAATGAACTCAACTTGGTCTTAATATAGAATCTTTTTTTGTACATTAGCAGAATTCTGTTTGCTAATGTTTTGTTTAGGTTTTTGGCATTTGTAAACATGTTTGAGTTTGAGTATATCTAGGTTTGTTAATGCTTTTACTTTTTTTCCTGTAATACAGACAGGAGGGCAGTGTTTCCTGCATATAGACTAATTGAAGTTCAATGTATCTTGCAGAAGTAATAGACCTTACTCATGAGAACAAAGATGATCTTCAGGCTGCCATTGCTTTGAGTCTACTGGAGTCCCCCAAAGTTCAAACTGATGGAAGAGATCTTAACAGGTAATTGATTTAATTTATAATCTTTGCTCCCTACATTAGTGTGTAGGTCAAAGGCAATAGCTCTGTGAGTGCCACTCAAGAACTATTCTTTCAGGCTCCTTCAATTGCATCTGAATTAAATTTTTTAAGGAAAATTTACTGAATTTAGCTTACTTACTCTGGTTCACTTTTGAAAAAGCCAAATATGGTAAGTGTCTTATTGCAGCCTGTGGTCTTTGGGCAGAAGCCTGCAGGTTATATAGTTCATAATTGCTAATTTATGGAGGGGGGGAGGCATTCTAGTGTAAGTATCCAATAAATATGTATGCCCTTTATAATCGTTGAACCTTTGTAAACTTTGAGGGTTATGTTGATTTTTAAAAATGCAATAATGATTCAATTACCCTGTCTCAGAAGTGAACAGGGATAGTATTTGAATTGGTACTAATTTGGTGACTGGCTGGAATTATCCACAAATATCCAGTTCCAGTGGTGGCCTGTCAGTTTCCAGATATGTTTATTCCCTTGTACTGTCCAGTTGTTCTTTCAGGGAAACACAGGGCTGTGGTTTGGGTACTAGAGAGTTTGGAGGCTCTTATTTTTTAAAAAAATATATTTTTATTGACTTCAGAGAGGAAAAGAGAGGGAGAGATAGAAACATCAATGATGAGATGGAATCATTGATTGGCTGCCTCTTGCACGTCCCACACTGGGGATTGAACCTGCAGCCTGGGCCTGTGCCCTGACCTGGTTCATAGGTGGACACTCAACCATGAGCCATGCTGGCCGGGCCGGAGGCTCTTATCTTTAGCAGGGTGTCTCTCTTGCCTCTTTCAATGACATGGTCTGAGAGAGGACACTGTTGCTGAAATCTAAAACTTTTCCTACACTACCATAAATAGTCTTGAGTCTCAACTCAGTTCCATGAAGCACCTTATTAGTAATCATCTCTGTTATAGAAGGATTAACATCTCTGTGTTTAAACCTTACTTTCACTTATGTTATAA